TCTCAAAATAAATAAATAAATAACCCACAGTGCCTCTGTAACTTTGCTGTGCTACCCAGGATACTAGGACCCCATGATTCTAGAATCTCAGACCTAATTAAAGAAACTTCCCCTAGACCCATAGAAAAAGGAAAAAGATTTGTATATCAAACTTGTTTATGCAAGTTTTTAAAGATGAGAAATTGTAATGTTGTTGCTAGAAGTATGTGTTAATAATGTTTTTAAAACATGAGTGTTGCTGTGAATAATCTGAAATACTGAAAATATTGCTGAGCCTAGAGTTTGTCATCGTAATAGAACACAGAGTAAGTTCTGATGGTATTTACCTAAAACTCGTGGCTCTAACTGTTGTATGTGTGGATAATTATATACATACTATGATGGCTATTCATGGTTCTCAATTTGACTACATCTGGGATTAACTAAAACCCAAGTGGCTGGGTACACTTGTGAGGGAATTTTTCTTAATTAAATCATTTGAATTAGGGAGACCCACTTTTCATCCAGACCATTTGAGGTAGGAAGATCCACCATTAATCCGGGCCACACCTTCTGCTGGCAGCCTGTATAAAGGACATAGAAGAAGGGAGCTTGCTCTCTCTTTGCCTGCTTGCTCTTGCTGTCAAGTCTATTCCTTCACTGGCATTAGAGCCTGCATTTTTGAGATTCCAGAGTGTGGTAAAGACCAGCTAAAACATACAGCCTTGTGGACTGAACAACTACTGGATTCTTGGACCTTCCATTGGTAGACAGTCATTGTTGGGCAAATTGAATCTCAGCCTGTAGGTTGTACTAATAAATCCCCCCAATGAATATATATATTCTATATTAAATATGTAATAATTTTATAAATTTTTCTATCAGTTCTGTTCCTCTAGAGAACCCTGACTAATATACATAATATAATCCATTCTATTAAAAGTTAATATATGCTTATCATTGTATTCAAAGGGATTAATTCTAGGACATCCTCCTCAAATGTCAAAATCCTCATATGTTCATCTCACAACATGATGTAGTGTTTGCACATAAAATGCATGCATTCTTCTGTATAATTTAAATCATCTCTATATTATCTATACATAATAGTTAATGCAAAAGAAATATATAAGTAGTTGTCCTGGTATGCTGTTCAAGAAATAACGACAAGAAAAAACAAATCTTTGTGTGTTCAGCATGGGTGCAATTTTTCCCCCCTGAATAATTTCTATCCAAGATTGGTTGAGTCTCAAGTGTGAAACCTGAACATACAGAGGGCAGTCAGAGCATAACAGTACAAAGTGTTTTGTACTGACACTCACTTTACAGATCATTGTCAACCCAGATATGGGAAACAAATTCATCACCAGGAAGCATGTTACAGTTGTCTGAGCCTACTGCAAGGAGCCTGTAGCTGTGTTTCACTGAGCAGCATCTCAGCTGGGATAAAGCTGATGCAGGAACTGGAAGGGTAGCTCCAACTTCAACAGTTTTCTTTTGAGAGCTGTCATGGTATAAAAGACGTCTCCCATAGCTAGGCTGTTGGAGGCAGTCCAAGTCCCTCGAAGGTTTCTCATTAAATGTTTCATGTTGTCACCACTTTCAACCGAAGCAATTGCAAACACTTCACAAGCTGTCGTAAAGCTGGTCTGGTAGATAAATTGGTGAAATCCCTCTTCTTTAAAGTTCTAAGCCACAAAACATTTGTCTCAGTGCTCAAGGGGATGAACGGACATGAGTGATCTACCCAAAGATTCTGTTTCAAGATCATCCCCAAAGAGAAACATCAGTTTCTTGGTGTCTCTTATGTGTTAATGGCTCACAATGCCAAGATGTCATATTGAGTAACTGTATGTTGAGTAACATATAAAAACAGCTGCTAGAAAAATATGGACAGAGGAAGCAGAAGATAGTGAAGTGTGCCCTGTGTCCTCTGCAGAATACAGACCCTAAGTGGAGTAAGATAACTAGAAGAAACAATGCTCAGCCATGCTCATTTCTCTGAAGTTGCCAAAAGGCCATATATAAGTGTGCTCTGCCAACAGAAGGTCAGAAAAGGCATATGGATGTAGAGCTTAAAAGAGAATTAATGTTAGCTTTACTTGAAAAATAGTTTCCATTAATTTTTGTGTGCTGCTAATTAACTTGAATTCTGTTTTGTTTCTTATCTTTTTGTTTTGCTTCATTTTGTTTTTTTTTAAGGTAGGTTCTCACTGGGCTGCCTAGAACTCAGTATATAGACCAGGTAGGCTTTGAATTCATGGAGATTCATCTACCTCCTACTCATTAGTGCTGGGGGTAAAGGTGTGAGACACCTTGGACCTAACTTTTTAAAAATTTAATTTAAAAAAATTTTTACTTTTTATAGTGAAATATACATAACATAAAGCTAATCATTATGGCCCTTTTTAAGAGAGCTGCCTGGTGACATTAAGTAAGACCACACTGTAGCAGAATCAACACCAGCATCCATCTCCAGAAAACCTATTCCTATTAAACAGCACTCCTTAGCACCCTTGCTCCTAAGACACTTGTAATACATTCTACTTCTTCCTCTTAAGTATTTGGCTATCTGTGTTACCTCATATAAATATGCCCATACAGTAATTGTCTTCTGTGTCTAAGTTACCATAGTGTCTAGGTTCACCCATAATGATACATAACAGTTGTACATACTGTGGGCTACCATGTGATGTTTTGATACATGAATACATTGTATATGTTCAAATCAGGACAAACTTGTCTGTGTTCTCAATTCAAGAATCCAGCCATTGAAACCCTGTTACCTACTGCCTTAATTAGGGTTACTATTGCTGTAATGAATCATCATGACCAAAAGAACTTGGGGAGGAAAGGGTTTATTTCACTCAAGTTCCATATACCTGTCCTAGAGGCAAGAATTGATACAGAGGCCATGGAGGGGTGCTGCTTACTGACTTGTACCTCGTGGCTTGCTCAGCCTGATTTCTTATAGAACCCAGGACTGTCAGTTCATGCACAGCACCACTCACCAAGGACTGGGCCCTCCCACATTGACCACTATTTAAGAAAATGCCCTACAGGCTTGCCTGCAACCTGGTCTTCTGGAGGCATTTCCTCAATCGAGGCTCCTTTTTCTCTGATGACTCTAGCTTGTGCCAAGTTGACAGAAAACCAGCCAGCACACATTTAGGGTGGCTCTTCCCCACCTCAATGGGCCCCATCTGGAAAATCTTTCCCAAGTGTACCAAGATGGTTGTTTTCATGGCGATTCTAAATCTTATCAAGCTAACAATCAATTAACTGTCACATCTGTCCAACAACCCCTTTTCTTAGTTCAAAGCCAGAAAAATCAGAATAGATGATAAAATTTAACTTTTTGCCAACATTTGAATTTATCTAAGTAATAAGTTAAAAACTACACCAATAAATAATTTCATTAAATGTGCTCCATTCTTCTATTTTGACAGACATGCTCCAATCACCACCTACATGCCTGAAGCTGAATTTGGAATTCTCAGCCACTTTGGCACCTGCTCTAGAACAACTACGGTGATAGGCAGAGAACAAGTCCCCACCCGCTTGTCTCCCATCCCAGCCCTGCCACTCACTGAGGGGCATGCATAGCTCCATGTAGACACCCTGGTTTCTATCCAAGCTCTAGTCACACATCCTGATGCCCTTCAGATGCCAGCACCCAGGTGCCCTTTGGACAATCACAGTGTGTCCTGTGAAAATGAACCCAGAGAAGTAGGTATGCGGTAGGTCAGGCCATTTAGACAGAGTACTGATGACTGGAGCATGGGTCAGAAGAGACTGTAAACCACAGCGGGAAGGAGCATACAGGATGGAGGCCAGAGATGTAGTGCCTGCACTACAACACTTCCACAATATAGGGCGACGGGCTTGAGGATTTAAATAAAGACAAGACAGCAGGTCTTTCTTGCAGGGAGAATGACATTTATTCCAACAAGACTGGGCTTATATACCAGTCAGCAGGCGTGATGGAAAACTACCCAGATCACAAGTTCAGGTTCCCAGGCCCATCAGGCAATCCTGAATGGGCGAATAACAGGATAACAGGAACTTGCACTCAGGCCTTCAAGGAAGGAAGAACACAGGATGTACTTACTAGGTAAACTCCTAGTCACAAGCTGGTCAGCAGACCCCTATGGGGGAAGGGCCCAACACAGAGAGGCACTTCTTTAAAGTACAGGATGTAGAAGAGGCTCCCCCTGCCTAGTCTATCAGTCAATTGCCCAATCCTCAAGCACCACCACATATATTTACAGCTCAGCTTTACTTTTTCAATCTCAGCCATAATGGACAATTCCCTAGAAACTGACTCCTGGGCAACCAGTGCCTCAACTCAAGCTAAACTTTCTGCCTTGGGGCTATATCGAGCATTGTAGGAATATACCTGCACTTAAATACAGCTCAGAAATACACCGAAGTGATAGAGTGTCTGAAGAAATCTACCAACATAGAATAGCAGTGTGTGGGCAAAGAGTCTGATATTTTTTCCTTCTCGATTGTCTTCATGCTCCCTGCTTTCTCCCTCCTGATTTTAATTCCCCAATTAACTACCACTTCCACGTGTTTACTTCAAGCTCTGCTTTTAGGGACCCTCAAAAGAATACAAGGAAAGAGCTGGGGACTTGGATCAGTTAGTTGAGTACCTGCCAAGCATGCACAAAGCCCTGGATTCAGGCTTTAGCACCACTTAAAAGTCAGCATGATGGCACTTTCCTGTATCTTAGCACTCAGGTAATAGAGGCAGGAAGACCAGAAGTTCAAGATCATTCATATCTACATAGTGAGTTCAGGGCCAGCTTGGGCTACATGAGACCAAAGAATAAAAGAACAAACCCCATGAAATGGAAGGATCAGTTTATTCCAAGTACAGCACAATCCTCTGTCCCCATTATACTCTTTGGAATCCCTAATCAGTTCTGCTGTGGGTTTTATTTGTTTGCTTAGTTTATTGCTTTGGGTTTTTGTTATCTATCGTTAATCATTTTGTTTTGATTATTTTTGGACAGGACCTTGGTATATAATGCAGACTGACCCCAAATGCTCTTTCTACCACCGCCTCCCACATGCTGGGATTACAGGTATGCATCGTCATATCACCTTCACAATCTTTTAAGAACTTGGCCTAATATAAAAAGTATTCTTCACATATTTATAACTTAGCTTATTTAATAGATTTGGGGGATTTTTAAAGAGTCAAATGTGTGGCAGTTAGAGTAAGAATGGACCCATAAGCTCATAGATTTGAATACTTGGTCACCAGGGAGTGGCACTATTTGAAAGGATTAGGAGGTGTGGCCGTGTTGGAGTAGGTATGGCCTTGTTGGAGGTAATTCATTATTGGAGGTGGGCTTTAGAGTTTCAAAAGCCCAAGCCAGTCTCAGTCTCTCTCTCTCTCTCGCTCTCTGTCTCTCTCTCTCTCTCGCTCTCTGTCTCTCTCTCTCTCTCGCTCTCTGTCTCTCTCTCTCTCTCGCTCTCTGTCTCTCTCTCTCTCTCGCTCTCTGTCTCTCTCTCTCTCTGTCTCTCTCCCTCTCTCTTCCTCCTCCTCCTCCTCCTCCTCCTCCTGCCTACAGATCTGGATTAGGACTCTCAGCTACTTCTCCTGCACCCAATTAAATGTTTTTCTTTATAAGAGTTCCAATGGTCATGGTGTCTCTTCATAGCAATAGAACAGTGACAAGACCTTTTGTTATTTCCCCTATATTGTCTAATTTTTTTTTATAGATCCTCACTTTCATGGTTAAAACTGCCTGTCTGCTCATAAAAAACACACCCGGACAGAAGCTGAACAAAGAGAGAACTGTTATTAATTTTGATATCAAAGATTGTAATGAAGGTGGGGGTGTGCATAGGCCCTTGTTACAGTTGACCATGAATCTGATGACACTTATAACAGATTTCTCTAGACCAATGGTTCTCAACTTGTGAATCCAGACCTTTTTGGGGGGAGTTGGATGACTCCTTCACAGGGGTTGCCTAAGACCATGGTAAAACACAGATATTTACATTATGATTCATAGCGGTAACAATGAAAATAATTTTATGGTTGGGGGTCACCACAACATGAGGAGCTGTATTAAAGGGTCACAGCATTAGAAAGGTTTAGAATCATTGCTCTAGACAGTCCAAGTTTCAAATTTTTGACCTGATATTTGTGAACACATTATTATGCTAGCCAGACTTTTGTTGATATTTAAGCTTCATAACAATCACTATGAAAATGGAGGCAGGCTAGGTAGGGTCCTAGGAACTCTTCCCTGGATGCTGGATCTGCCTGTGGTGCCACATTCATCACTCCTGACCTAGAGGTGAACCTGCTCGTCTACTATGCAACTCCACACTGTAAAAACTAAGGACTGGATGGTGTCAGAGAGTGGCTCAACCAGGGGGAAAACATCAATCTCAACTTGGACCAATTCTTTAATCACTAAATGCGGCCCTGCCATAGAGTTATAGGCTAAGGCAATCTACTGGTTAATACATTTGGAAAGTCCAATGCTAAAACTGTCAGGTATTATATTTTTTTATTTAATAATACCTTTAGTGTTTAATTTAAAGCAATGGGTTCTTTTTTTCCTGTGTATTGTAGACACAGGGCTAATGGTTTTGATTTTATTATCTGTGCTTCCCTCTAGTGGTGGACAGAAGATGCACATCTAGGTGGGTGTGACAGCCTGTGTCAGGCTGGCAGTTACCATACATTATAATCAATTCAATAACTTTATAGAAGTGGCCTTTCTATCTAGACATTAGAGTGTTGCCTTTACAGTTACGACTAACATTATTTTGTGTGTATACTGGAAAATTTTTACCTCCATGTACAAGGTTGTTATAAATATGTTTTAAACAAATTAGTGTGCTGTGTTTTTGGTGTGTGTAGGGTAGGTTATGTTTGTTGCGTATGTATGCGGGGTGTTTGTTTGGTGATTAGGTAGTGTATCTGTGTAGTGTATGTGTGTGGATTGAGTCTTTGGTGTATGTAGTTTAGTTTATATGTGGTATGTGTTTGTGCGGTGTGTGTGTTTGTAGTGTCTGTGTGCGGGGTGTGTGTTTGTTGTGTTTGTGCTTATAGTATGTGTGTGTTTTGCGTTGGTGTAGTGTATGTTTATAGTTCATGTGTGTTGTACGTGTGTTTGGTGAAAGTATTGTAGTGAATGTGGAGTATGTGTGTGGTGTGTGGGTAGTGTAGGTTTCTAGTGTATGTGTGTGGTGTGCGTATGCGGTGTGTGTAGTGTATCATATATATGGTGTGTGTGTGGTGTGTGTAGGGGAGGTTATGTTTCTGGCGTATGTGTGCGCTGTTTGTTTGGTGATTAGGTAGTGTATCTGTGTAGTGTATGTGTGTGGATTGAGTCTTTGGTGTATGTAGTTTAGTTTATATGTGGTATGTGTTTGTGCGGTGTGTGTGTTTGTAGTGTCTGTGTGCGGGGTGTGTGTTTGTTGTGTTTGTGCTTATAGTATGTGTGTGTTTTGCGTTGGTGTAGTGTATGTTTATAGTTCATGTGTGTTGTACGTGTGTTTGGTGAAAGTATTGTAGTGAATGTGGAGTATGTGTGTGGTGTGTGGGTAGTGTAGGTTTCTAGTGTATGTGTGTGGTGTGCGTATGCGGTGTGTGTAGTGTATCATATATATGGTGTGTGTGTGGTGTGTGTAGGGGAGGTTATGTTTCTGGCGTATGTGTGCGCTGTTTGTTTGGTGATTAGGTAGTGTATCTGTGTAGTGTATGTGTGTGGATTGAGTCTTTGGTGTATGTAGTTTAGTTTGTATGTGTGGTGTGTGTGTGTGCGGTGTGTGTAGTTTAGTGTATGTATGCGGTGTGTTTGTTTCATGTTTGTGTTTGTAGTACGTGTGCGTTGTACGTGTTTGTAGTGTCTGTGTGAGGGGTGTGTGTTTGTTGTGTTTGTGTTTGTAGCATGTGTGTGTTTTGCGTTGGTGTAGTGTATGTTTATAGTTCATGTGTGTTGTACATGTGTTTGGTGAAAGTATTGTAGTGAATGTGGAGTAAGTGTGTGGTGTGTGTGTAGTGTAGGTTTCTAGTGTATGTGTGTGGTGTGTGCTTTGGGTGTGTGTAGGGTAGTTTATGTTTGTGGTAGTTTATGTTGTGTGCGCTGTTTGTTTGGTGATTAGGTAGTGTATATGTGTAGTGT